AAATAAAATCCCAGCAGAAATAAACTTACTAGGTATTTTAGTTGATATTACTAATTAAATTGTAATAATTAAGAAATTAAAAAATAAGTCAAAATTGAGTTACTTAATAAATTCTATTATTTCTACGGCAAATTCAGTCATTTACAATCGAAAAATTGTAATTTTTGCGTTGTCATAAAAATTTAGTTTTCTCCGTGCACGCGTGCAGTACTAAAACAAAAGTATCGTGTATATAGGTACATACAAAGTAAATAAATATATTCCAAATGTCTTAGTGCCTTATTAGTTTACTCGACGCAAACTTTGGGCATATGTAGTTCAAAGCCCGTTATGAAGAGTACTAAAATTATAACCAGAGGCGTAGCTAGGAGTCAATAAGTTCGCTAACCGCCAACGGCCTCGTGCCTTATTAGAAAAGTAAATGCAACTAACTCTGGATAGATACTATCCAGAGTCATCTGGCAACATTAACAATTGTGGGGTTTTCCCAGCCAAAGTATTCGTACGCAGGGCTGAAACTTATTTTATAATATATGTGATTCCCAGACTCGTTCAGTTTAGCAGTTTTCCTAGCCAAAACATGAAAAGGCCCTCGCGAAACCGAATTTTCTCTTGTAAATAAGTTAAACTAGTCGGTCAGGGTAATACTGATAAAAACCGTTCTCAATTGAAAAACTAGATATTTAATTAAACGTCCTCAGATCAAGATTTTTTTAATTCCTAGATTTCATCCAGTCATTTCATGATATTTCTGGCGAAATAATATTTTTTTAAATAAAATGAAATATGAATCTATTTCATTATTTATCGGCGTTTAATTAAATCGTAGGTTTTCAATCAAATAAAATGTTTTTTTTATTACCCGGTGAAAGATACGTACATTCATTATGAAACAACATCGTGGGTGGCTCACAGAATTCACATGAAATAGGACGAAGCTTCAAGGAACATTTGTAACATCTTATATACCTATATCGTGTATACTTGTTTACATTTATGAATAAATAGAACATAGTATTGTTCAAACACATAAATATTTGCGGCACTAGAATAACAATTTTAGTTACTTGTTTTGTTTGCTGCGCGTGACCTAATTGTATAAGTTATTCAACATAAATAAACAAATGCGTTAGATAGTGCAAAAAGCATTATTAATACATTTTTTATATATTTTAATATCGATAATTGCGTTTACTAAAATAAGGAGACCCTGGTATCAAATAAATGAAAGAAGAGATTCACCCCAATTTACATCTACCAACTTTTCCTTTGCTGACACGTGTTTTGTCATCCCTTATGTGGGCTTTATGTTGATTTAATAATGCCCACATAAGAGGTGGGCAAACACGTGTCTGTTTGGGAAAAGTTCGTTGTGGTAAAATGGGGTGAGGATCATTTTTCATTTATTTGCCGTTAGTTTGATATAAAGTATTATTGTTTTATTCGCACAACTGCTTTAAAAATTGGATACCGTTACCAATTAAATATTATTAAAATGGACCTCTGAATCAACAGAACTGTATCTTTGGGATTGTTTGGTTTTCTTTTAATGTGAAAAAATTAATTTTTGAAGAACCGCAAAATTAATTTTAATTTTTATTTGACCGTCATATATCACACATTATTATTGAACATTTTGCTATGTACGTTTGATGTAGGGATGCATGACATTTGTAAAATTTCCACTTGTGTTAATTTCTCCTACTGTTCTTTTTATTTAAAGTTATAGTTTACTATTTCCCATTTTCTTGGTCAATAAGAAAATCAACCCTTTTAAGATATAATTGAAACGAGACAGATGAATGAATCACCCCTCAGTGAAACATAGTAGCAACCCCACCCCCTCTTTAAAAGGAATGCAAAAATGTTTATTACTCTGTTTCCTTCGATTTGAATGTGAAACTCTGTACTTTTTTCTCCTGGACTGGAGAAATTAACAGTTTTGAAAATCATACACTACAGTTATTTTCCACCAACGAAATATTAAAATTGATTATCTTTTTTCAGGCATAATTGATGCAGGAGGTCGTAATGTCACCTTATCGCTTCAATCACGTACAGGACACACTAATATGTTAGCAGTTGTCGGAACCCTCGTATTCACCCAATATTGGTATTGGTTCCCACTTGCACATTGCTTGTCTTTAGCATTTACTCCCACTTGTATCATTGCTCTTAACGCCCAGCTCAAGGTAAGAAATATCCCACTTTCCTAGGTTACTAAAATTACCAAAATTTATTTAATTTTAGATGCCCAAACTGGAATACAAATCGAATGCTAAACCCAGTTTGTATGCATACCCAGCACCTTTGGAAGAAAAGAAACGCGAAGAAAGAGAAAAGGTGACAACAGCTGTCTTGAGTATTGCCGCACGCCAACGTCGTCGCGATCATGAGAAAAGACATCGAGATGAAAAAATGGATGTGGTAAGTTGATGTTAATAATTTAATTCGTATCTTTACTACCCCTTAAATGGGGAAATCATTTTATATTTTTCTTCACGTTTAAGTATTTTTAATTTTTTCTTAGGATGAAGAAAAAGAAGAAAAGAAAGAAGAAAAAAAGGACGACAAGAAAGTCGAGGAGAAAAAAACTGAAGATAAAAAGTCTGATGAAAAGAAAGAGGTAAAGAAAGATGAAAAAGACGAGAAGAAAAAGGAACCTGAACCTACGTTCGAAATCCTCTCAAACCCAGTTCGAGCTCTTCGTCAACAGTTAAAGGTCATCTCGTTGAATGAAGGGTCTCATTACGTACCTATGAAGGACGTCTCTATTGGAGGTATTGTTATGGTGCGCAATTTGAAACCAGACGTGGAAGAACTAGTCGAACCAGTTGCTGGTAAGTTACACGTAAATAAATTACGAGGCATATTTCACAAAATGGAAAAAAATTATCTTAACAAGTGTTGATTTTACTTGTTAGCTTCCTCAGTCTACTTTTCTAAATAATTTTCACCAATATTAAGGCACTTATCGAAGCGTAGACCGAATATTTGTACTTGCTGGACTGTGTACTGTATTTTGGGACAGTAACTATCAACATGGAATACAAAAACTGGCTGTACATTACGATAAATAGCTTAATATTGGAAAAAATATGTAGAAAAGTAGATTAAGGTATAGCTTTCATATAAAATAAAGTTGTTATATGTTTAAGTATTTTTTTTCCGTAAAAAACATGCCTCGTAAAAGGAAGAGGGTCTTTTTAAACTATAAATTAATAGTATATGGTAATTTAGAATACATTCAAGTAATTCAGATATAGTTACTGATAATATTTCTTTTAATTATTAAATTTAAAACTGATCAATTCTTCTAATTGATTGAATTTACTTAATAAATAAAAGGATACGATTTACGTTGGTTTTATATCCAAAAAAGGCTCATTACATTAATCAGCGAAGCTTTAAACTACTATTTGTTTTTCATAAAGAAAAATAACTTCTATGAAGATTTTACACTACCTGTCTATTAAGATTGTTTGATAGTAACCAAGAAACAAATGGGGCGTCTTATTTTCCAACGTTGCTTTTCCCTCGGTTTTAATTAATTACAAAGTTCACGACGGGATCTTAGATAAAAGTAATGATAAATGATCACGCCATTTTTAACGTTCATAAATGATGTAATTCACAGCAAGGACTTAATTTTTATTCATTTTGTATCCAGAAAAATGTTTGTTTAGAAAAAAGTGTCATTTTTACAATGAAGTAGGAACTATAAAAGAGCTTTGTGTGTAGATTCTTGACAATTAGACATCCAAAAATTGAATTAAAAAATTGAAAACTAAAATTTCTTCCAAGTTAATACGTGACCTATATTTGAAATTCCAAGTTGCTTTGTTTACTCTTGGATTAAGGGTTTTCCTTGTAAACACTTATCCATTACTTTGAAAGCATAAACAAAACGAAATTAATCCTCAAGGATTTTCAAAAGACTCTTAATGACAACAGCTTCAATTACGATTTTAAACTTACCAGCGGTTCTCGATGCCACCCTATGCGAGTTTCCTTTAATAATTTTAGTCAAAACATCCCTGCACTCTTAACCATGTGGACAGTGGCACGATGAACTTTTGATTTTTTGTAACATATAGACACACGTATATTTCATTTAATATCCCTCACGAATATAAATGCTCTTCTCTAAGAACTAAAACTTTTTCACGCAAAAATTTCACGAAAATATGTGTATATATATA